TACTAGGTTCAATGACGATGACAAGCTTTTTGATTCTTTTGAATTCATCACATTCACATTCACATTCAATTTTTAACATATTGAGTTGGCCCACCCTTTGCAGCTATAACAGCTTCAACTCTTTTGGGAAGACTGTCCACATGGTTTAGGAGTGGGTCTATGGGAATATTTGACCATTTGTGAGGTCAGGCACTGATGTCAGATGAGAAGGCCTGGCTCACAGTCTCCACTCTAATTCATCCCAAAGGTGTTCTATTGGGTTGAGGTCAGGACTCTGTGCAGGCTAGTCAAGTTCCTCCACCCCAAACTCACTCATCCATGTCTTTATGGACCTTGCTTTTTGCACTGGTGCGCAGTCATGTTGGAACAGGACGGGGTCCGTTCCCAAACTGTTCCAACAAAGTTTGGAGCATGAAATTGCCCAAAATGTCTTGGTATGCTGACACTTTAAGAGTTCCCTTCACTGGAACTAAGGGGCCAAGCCCAACCCCTGAAAGACAACCCCACACCATAATCCCCCCTCCACCAAACTTAACACTTGGCACAATGCAGTCAGGCAAGTACCATTCTCCTGGCAACCGCCAAAACCCAGATACACCCATTGGATTGCCAGACAGAGAAGCGGGATTCGTCACTACAGAGAACAGGTCTCCACTGCTCTAGAGTCCAGTGGTGCCGTGCTTTACTCCACGGCATTCAACGCTTTGCATTGCACTTGGTGATGTAAGGCTTGGATGCAGCTGCTCAGCCATGGAAACCCATTCCATGAAGCTCTCTGTGCACTGTTGTTGTGCTAATCTGAAGGCCACATGAAATTTGCAGGTCTTTAGCTATTGACTCTGCAGATAGTTGGTGACTTCTGCACACTGTGCGCTTCAGCATGCGCTGACCCTGCTTTGTCTATTTACGTGGCCTACCACTTCGTGGCTGAGTTGCTGTTTTTCCCAGTTGCTTCCATTTGTTCTAAAACCACTAACAGTTGACCATGGAATATTTAGTAGCTAGGAAATTTCACAGATGGACTTATTGCACAGGTGGCAACCTATCATGGTACCACGCTTGAATTCACTGAGCTCACGAGAGCGGCCCATTCTTTCACAAATGTTTGTAGAAGCACCAGAAATAAAAATACAAATTCGGCGCTCAATGATAGTTACAGTATGTAGATGGTATCTCACAGTATTAAAACTTCATTGATATGATATATACGGATTAATGTGACTGTTGTGACACAGTGAGCAATAATAAACTTTCGTGACTGCCGTGACCGTGGTACTAAATGATATTACCAGCAACAAAGCTTATTAGGTAAAAATCATGCGGAGTGAAGTGACTGTGGATATACAGTAAGCAAAGGTTAATATTCGTAACTGTTAACGCTGGAAGCAATGAGCATAATATGCACCGATTAGATAGTATCTCGTAGTAACGTAAACTTGTAGGATATAGTTCATGCGGAGTAATGTGACTGTAGTGACACAAAGAACAGCGGATAACTTTCGCGACTGCTGTGGCTGGAAACAATGAGCGTACTATGTACTAACCAGATAGCACAGATAAATGTGCGTTGGAGTAAATAAGACCTACTCCTAGGTACTCTGGGGGTGGGAACTCAGCATGCGGATGTGATCATCAGGTGGAGGTGCTTCACCAGCTGTCATCTATCCAAAGCAGGTTTCCACGTCTCAGGTTAACTGTGTCCAGCAGTACAATTTTCAGCCATCAGGGGGATCGTATGAAGCAGATAGGGACCAGGAAAAGATCCTTCAGGATAAGGACTCTCAGTGCCAGATAAAAGAGCCCAGAGAGAAAAGAACTCCAATAGTGTAGTATGTTTAATGGTAAAATAGGAGTAACATCAAGGTACAGGTAAGTAAAAACAAAGCCAGCACTTACATGTGAGGTAGTATATGGTTAGCATTCCATGAGAAAGGGTATCTATCTAACGCGTTTCGTGTAATAACACATTTTCAAAGGCGTTTGGGCCTCTGGGCTCTTTTATCTGGCACTGAGAGTCCTTATCCTGAAGGATCTTTTCCTGGTCCCTATCTGCTATATATTCTAAAACCAAGCAGATCAATGAGGGAGAAGGATTTGGGCATCCTGGAGGTTCATGTACTCAATAGCTATATACAATACCAATCTTTAGCTTCTACACCAAGCAAAACACACTTTTTTTAAAATAAAAGAGACATAGGCATGAAAGTGAAAAAGAGATACAATCATGTTGCTATACAAATCATTAGAAAGACCTTATCTTGATATGGAATTAAGTTTTGGGCATCAGTACAATAGGATGTTGTTGACCTGCAAAGAGTTCAGAGAAGAACACCTAAATTAATAAAAGGCATGAGGGTCCTTAGCTATAGGGAAAGATTAATTGAACTGTCGCAAGGCAGTTATACTGTATCTACTATGTGCCAAAGCGAGAACCTTGTCTGAGGACATGCCTTTTTGAAGCACTGAGGAAGGGGGTGGCATTCAAGGTCATATGGGACAGGAGAAGGGGGGGGGGGCTTTGCCTCTCAGGCTGGTACCTCTATTGTATATTGCATTGGTAGCTCAGAATGTACTCTATATATCCTCTGCCTTGGTCTGGTGGCCTCTGTTAGAACAACTTCCACAAAAACAAATATCACTAAATTCACTTTTCAGAAGAAATCTTTCAGTACAGACATTCTTTGATTAGCTGACTTGTGACACACTTTATTAGAGACATGTCCTTATTTTTGTTTGTGTCCCTGCTAAACATATTTCCCATCACTTCCTATCCTGAAGGAAGGACAAATGACAAAATGACAAAAAAGTGAGAATAAATGGCAAAAAAAACTGAAAGAGGCTCTAAAGCTGGCCATAGATGGACTGATGTAATTCTCACTCATGCAAGAATTGGGAAGTGGAAGCAGGTTCCTGTTTGAAAAAGGTATCTACTCCCAGAAAAAAAAATATGTAAGGAGGGGCAGATGAACTGTACTTTCACTTTAAATAAAGGCCCACTTTAAGTTTTATATGTAGAAAATACTCAAAACAATAACTGCACCTTAGGTGCAGTAACAGTTATGTGGTAGCCCCTCCCTTATTGCTTCCAGACCTCACGTTCATCTTTTGCTAATTTGCTCCAATTCTACACTAGATTTTAAAGTCAGGTGACAAAATGATCCTGTAATGTGCCTTCACATGCACCTTTCATTCTTATTAATTTCTATAGATTTCAATGTATAAGCTTTAACTCCAAAAGCTATATGAATTAATGGGAGTGCAGATTAGAATGCTTATACCACTAGTACCAAGTCACACATGTAAAGGACAAGTGCTACAACCCTCATAACATATTCCAGGAGGAGTATAAATCTCACCGTGCGACTCCTGCGGTCTCCATCTGCTAAACCAATAAGTCAATCATGTAGGAACGGCAATAAGGTGGGAACAAACTGTAGAAACGTTATTTGAATGCAGAGTATAAAAACATTCCAGAAGACAAGCAACACTAACGCGTTTCAGTCAAACAAGACCTTACTCATAGTTAGTTACTTGTAGTGCAGCACTCCATTGTACAGTGGTCTATCGCTCCCTTAAGGGCCAATCATTCCAATCAGATATGGAAAAGAATTGACAGAGTTGTGGAATAAAAATAAGTCATTGAGTCATCCCAATATTACACCATAAGAAAAGTTAGCTTTGGAGCATTTGAAGGAGTCCAAAAATGTAGGTATCCATGGAGTTGACAAGGGGGGAGTGGTTGTAATTTTGACTAGGGAACAGTATTCTACTGAAGAACTCAGACAACTTGGTGATCGATCTACTTACCGCCCCCTTTTGTCAGATTCAACTTAACCCTTTAAGTCCATCCTGTATGATTTAATGAATATGGGACTTATAAGTGCGAGGACAGCTGAATATTTCCTAAAGCAAAATTCAGTTATGCCTATATTTAATTTTTTGCCAAAATACATAAAAAAAGATGAACCGATGCAAGGTCATCCCATAGTTGCAGGCATTGGATCTCTTTTGGAACCGATGGGAGAATGGGTTGATAAACATCTTCAACCATTAGTTCTACGACTACCAGGATATATTAAGGATACAGGTACAGTACTCTCACAGATTCTGAAGGTTTATTGGACCTCTGATCTCTCTTGGGTGACATTAGGGGGTTTATTTACTAAAGCTGGAGAGTCCAAAATCAGACTCCCTTCTGCATAGAAACCAATCAGCTTCTAACCTCAGCTTGTTCAATGAAGCTTTGGCAATGAAACCTGGAAGCTGATTGGTTTCTATGCAGAAGGGAGTCTGATTTTGGACTCTCCAGCTTTAGTAAATAAACCCCTAGATGTCATGGCATTATATTGTAGCATTTCCCATGATCTAGCATTACAAGCGGTCAAATTTCACTTAGTCAAATACAGATGTTATACAAAAGAACTCCAAGAGTATTTGCTTCAATGCATAGAATACTTATTGACATAATTTTTTTTTTATGTTTGATAGTGTTTATTATTTACAATCTTGTGGAGCATCAATGGGGGCCAAAATTTCACCATCTTTGGCAAACATTTATATAGACTGGTGGGAGGAGCATTTTGTCTTCTCCCAGATTAACCCATATAGAACACAGCTATTTTGTTTTAGCCACTATATTGATGACCTATTGATCATCTGGCAAGGAGATAACTTATCCCTTAACCATTTTGTTAGTTTTTTAAATGACAATACTTTAAATCTTCAGTTCACCTATGATCATAATAAAAATACTATTGATTTTTTGGACATCACTTTGACTAGCAACTCGGAGGCAGGTGAGATAACTTCTACAGCTTTCCGTAAATTCTGTGCAAGTAATACGACTTTACATGGTAGAAGTTGCATTTAGAGATGAGCGAAGTATTCAAAAATTCGATTCGACTGATTCGGCGAATTCGTGGAAAATATTCGATTCGAGTCGAATATATTCGCTGTGAATTTAACTTAAAAAAGGGTGTTTCTAGGCTTCAGAGAGACTTAATATTAGTGCAGAACACTACCTTTAATTTAAATGCCCTTGGAGTCTGCTGGGGAAGAGAAATAATACTGTCAGTCAGTATGACATGCAGATGAGTGCCGTCGATCTTAGAATCACCGCACACTTCACACATTTGGCAGTCACGGGGCCAAAACCAGTGTTTGGAGCCACAGTGTGGCGGTGGAGGCAGCAGCAATGGGAGCCATACAGCAACCTATGACAAAATGGAAACCAGCAGGAGTGTGAGGAGACCTCAAAGTGGCACATGGCAGAGTGGGAGCAATGGGAGGCGGTACAGGGACCCATGTCACACTGTGGACCCAGCAGCAGCGTGACCAGACGGTACGGAGGCCCATGGCAGATTACAGGCCTGGCAGCAGCAATGGGAGGCCCGTAATCTGTCAGCACCCTATGACAAAATGGAACCCACCAGCAGTGTGAGGAGACCTGAAAGTGGCACATGGCAGAGTGTGGCGATGGAGACAGCAGCAATGGGAGGCCGTACAGGGACCCATGACAGACTCTGGACTTGGCAGCAGCATGAGGAGGCGGTATATAGGGGCCCATGGCAGATTAGGGGCCTGGCAGCAGCTATGGGAGGCCCGTAATCTGCCAGCACCCTATGTCAAAAAATTAAACACACCAGCAGTGTGTGAGGAGACCTGAAAGTGGCACATGGCAGAGTGTGGCGATGGAGACAGCAGCAATGGGAGGCCGTACAGGGACCCATGAGAGACTCTAGACCTGGCAGCAGCATGAGGAGGCGGTATATAGGGGCCTATGGCAGATTAGGGGCCTGGCAGCAGCTATGGGAGGCCCGTAATCTGCCAGCACCCTATGTCAAAAAATTCAACACACCAGCAGTGTGAGGAGACCTGAAAGTGGCACATGGCAGAGTGTGGCGATGGAGACAGCAGCAATGGGAGGCCGTACAGGGACCCATGAGAGACTCTGGACCTGGCAGCAGCATGAGGAGGCGGTATATAGGGGCCTATGGCAGATTAGAGGCCTGGCAGCAGCTATGGGAGGCCCGTAATCTGCCAGCACACCCTATGTCAAAAAATTCAACACACCAGCAGTGTGAGGAGACCTGAAAGTGGCACATGGCAGAGTGTGGCGATGGAGACAGCAGCAATGGGAGGCCATACAGGGACCCATGAGAGACTCTGGACTTGGCAGCAGCATGAGGAGGCGGTATAGGGGCCCATGGCAGATTAGGGGCCTGGCAGCAGCTATGGGAGGCCCGTAATCTGCCAGCACCCTATGACAAAAAATGGAACACACCAGCAGTGTGAGGAGACCTGAAAGTGGCACATGTTTGGAGCATGATTCATGGCGGATTTAGTCAGTTGTGTCAGGAACTGGTGGTTTGAAATCCAGACTAATCCACGCCTGATTCATTTTCACAAACGTGAGTCTCTCCACACTTTGGGTGGACAGTCGTGTCCTCCGCGGAGTTGCAATACCTCCTGCCGCACTAAACACGCGCTCCGATGCCACGCTACTGGCCGGGCATGACAGCCTTTCAAGGGCAAATTCAGCTAGTTGGGGCCAAAGGTCAAGTTTCGTTGCCCAGTAGTCAAAGTGGATTGTCTACCTCGGTTGGCAGGGTGCTGTCCAAGTAGGGCCTAAGCCTGTTGTTTGAGGTCCTGCTCCAGGTCCACCTGATGCTGCTGCTGCTGCTGCTGCTGCTGCGGCTGGTTATTAGTTTCCTCACTGCGCTGGTGAAGAAAGCTACTCATCATCGACTGCAGACTGAGACAGCTGCTGCTGGTGGAGCTGCCACTGCTCCTACCACCCCACCCCTCCCCTGCTGCCATGGCAGCGTAACGTGAGCGCACAGGGCCCACATGTCTGAGGATGGACGTTGGCGCAGACAGGCAGAGACCAGCTGACTACATAGGTGGATCTTATTGTTATTATCTCGGCTTTCGCTAACGCAAGCAACCGAGCATACGATGGGCCAGTTGTGCCAAGGAAGATGCGAGGGACGCCCTCAGCCTCCATCTCCACAGCATACTGCCACGAGCGTTGGGTTCCTCTGTCTCCTTCCTTCCTCCTCCTCTTACCAGAATGCTCCTGCTACCTCCACTCCTGTCCGCTAGATGTGGAAAAACCACCCAGGTCACTCATTACTTTCTCTGAGCAACAATGGCCACCGCTACCTCCTCACTTACATCATGCCTTTGTCCGCCCCACACATGGGTCATGTGGCATTGAGATCTGTGCGCCAACGTCTACCGCACCACCCTGACAGCTCAATGTTAACAGCAAATTCTGTTCCTCCGAAGCACGTGCAAACAGAGGAATGACCGTCGTTCTTCCCATAGTCCTGCTCGATACTCAAGAATAGTCGTGGCCTCCTCAAAGGGCACTCTGAGCAATGCGCATGAGGTCACTATGAGCTGGCATATGGTCTACAATCTAGTTATACACAGGGAGTACCTTTATTCGCGCATTTTAACATTCAGGAAAATCTGTGATGCCTTTTGCTGTTCGTAAAAGGCGGTCTACATATGTAGGGTTGGAATTCCACCTTGTTCGCAACGTCACAGCATGAGGAGTCATACCGGGGGCCCCATGCAGATTACGGGCCTGGCCGAGCAGCAATGGGAGGCCCGTACTCTGCGCACCCTATGTAAAAAATTCAACACACCAGCAGTGTGTGAGGAGACTGGAAGGGGCACAAGGCAGCGTGTGGCGATGGATGACAGCAGCAATGGGAGGTCCGTACAGGGACCCATGAGAGGACTTGGACCCTTGCAGCGCATGAGGAGGCGGGTCGGTATTAGGGGCCTATGGCAGATTAGGGGGCCCGGCAGCAGCTAAAGGGGGCCCCTAATCTGCCACACCCTATGTCAAAAAAAAATTTAAAAACACCAGCAGTGTGAGGAGACCTGAAAGGGCACATGGGAGAGGTGGCATGGGACAGCAAGCAAGGGGGCCGTACAGGGCGCATGAGAGACTCGGACTTGCAGCACATGAGGGGGCGGTATATAGGGCCTATGGCAGATTTGGGGCCGGCACAGCTATAGGAGGCCCGAATCGCCAGCACCCTATGTCAAAAAATTCAAAACACCAGCAGTGTGAGGGGGACCTGAAAATGGCACATGGGAAAAGTGTGGCAGGGGACGGGACAAGGGGGGGCCGTACAGGGGCCCCTGCAGACCTGGCTGGCAGCAGCATGAGGAGGGGGTAAAGGGGGCCCATGGGAGATTAGGGCCTGGGAGCAGCTATAGGAGGGCCCCTAATCTACCAGCCCCATCAAAAAAAATTTAACACACCACATGTGAGGAGACCTAA